CACAAAGGAATGGGGTAAAGTTTTCCAGAGGGAAGTGAAGGAAGGAATATCCAAATACCCCTCTCTGCCAGGAATCCTGGAGCTTCAGTTAGCAGGAAGGAGCTGCAGGAAGGCGTGACCCCCTCACACACCCTGCAAGGACCTAATCCTGCTTCAACACACACAGCCAAAGGTTCATTTCCAATATTGACTTCCTGACCCATCCACTTGGGAATCAATCAGTGACATCATTAACCACACAGCCTGAAAGTATTCCACGGCCAGCTCCACAGGGAYCCTGAAGGGGCTCTTGAACTGGCTGGAAAACCTCCCATGTGGGAAGTGACACTGACAAAGTCATTGGGGGATGTTCTTCACTAATAAWGGGTTTGTGATCGAAGAGTTTCACCTTCCTGTCTCAATTCTGCATTTTAATCAAAGAAATCGAGATTTTGTCACAAGGGCATTTGTAAAACATGCCCAGATGCACAGAACACCGACAGCCCTTGTGAGGCCAGGCTGGCTGGGTGCTCCCCATCCCTCTGCACCAGAACCAGGCTTTTCCCAAAMTGGGGCACAAACCCTGGAGCCAGGGTACCAAACCCACCTGCCYAGCCACAGGCTCTGCTCTTGATCCCTGGGTGAAGATTTGGGCTTAGACCCAAACGCCTGAGATTCTCTGCCAAGATCCCCTGGAATTGTGGCAAAATCCCAGAGTGGTTTGGGTGGGAAGGGAYCTTAAAGCCCATCCAGTGCCACCCCTGCYATGGCAGGGACACCTCCCACTGTCCCAGGYTGCTCCCAGCCCCAATGTCCASCCTGKCCTTGGGCACTGCCAGGGATCCAGGGGCAGCCACAGCTKCTSTGGGCACCCTGTGCCAGGGCCTMCCCACCCTCACRGGGAACAATTCCTTCCCAATATCCCATCCATCCCTGGCTTCTGGCAGTGGGAAGCCATTCCCTGTGTCCTGTCCCTCTGTCCCTTGTCCACAGTCCCTCTCTGCCTTCTCTCTCCCCTTTTGGCTGTCACAGACACACCCTGTGATCCCCTCAGTGGGCAGAGCAGAAGGGAGGGAGAGCGTTCCAAACCTGCCCAGAGTAAATGAGGGCACAGTACAAGACAAGAATCAATTAAAAACACAAAACACAGCCAGGTTTGATATTTTYTTTTCCAGTTATCAACAGGCCCATCACCTCAGCACAAGGTTAACCCCATCCCAGGACAAGGGGAGGAAAATACACTGAGGTTATGCATCGTCCCCCCTTCCTTATTATTGATTTTTTCAGCTACATATCCACAATATTCCCTTAAATGTCCACCAGATGACATCTGCTCATMCCACTTGTGTGTGACAGGATTACCTGAATGAGCTTGAACAAAACCAGCTCTGAGAAGCTTGAAAAGTATAACCTTGTGAGCACTGATCGAATTTAACCGGACAGCTCAGTTTCATCCACCAAGAACCAAGGAGACGA